AACACTCCTGCTCATACATCCCAGAATGACATTCATTTTTTTTGCAACAGCGTTACACTGTTGACTCATATTTAGCTTGTGATCCACTATGACTCCCAGATCCCTTTCTGCAGTATTCCTTCCTAGGCAGTCATTTCCCATTTCGTATGTGTGCAACTGGTTGTTTCTTCCGAAGTGGAGTACTTTGCATTTGTCCTTATTTAATTTCATCCTGTTGACTTCAGACCATTTCTCCAGTTTGTCCAGTTCATTTTGAATTTTAATCCTATCCTCCAAAGCACTTGCAACCCCTCCCAGCTTGGTAATGTCTGCAAACTTTATAAGTGTTCTCTGTATGCCATTATCGAAATCATTGATGAAGATATTGAACAGAACCGAACCCAGAACTGATCCCTGCAGGACCCCACTCGTTATGCCCTTCCAGCATGACTGTGAACCACTGATAACTACTCTCTGGGAACAATTTTCCAACCAGTTTTGTACCCACCTTATACTAGCTCTATCTAGGTTGCATTTCCCTACTTTGTTTAAGAGAAGGTCATGCAAGACAGTATCAAAAGCTTTACTAAAGTTAAGATAGACCACGTCTACTGCTACCCACCATCCACAAGGCTTGTTACCCTGTCAAAGAAAGTGATCAGGTTGTCAGGGATAGTGGTTTCTGCTGCTCTGGGCCTGGTGGGAATGAGGGACTCTACTGATCTGAAATGAGTTATTGCTGTGCCAGAGGGACCCTCCCACTCAAGGTAACAAGTCAGGGGGGTAAGCAGCTGGCCATCTCCTCTCCCCCCAGCTGAGGTCTTCGATGGTGGCTGATAAGCAAAGAGCTCATTACATCAGAACCAAGATGTGGAGCAATTTGCATTTCACAAAAGGAAGTTCCCACCCTGCAAATGAACTTCCTTCTCAGCAAAGAGCCAGAGCTGTCACCCAGTTGCAGAGGGGTTTCTCACACCAGGCCCTACACCTGCTCCTGCTTCCACTGAATTCAGTGGCAAAAGCTCCTCTGGGAACAGGGTTGGGCACTTCATCAGCAGAGCTCACTCACTCTTGGCCAATGGAATCTGTGTGAGGCAGCATGGTCCAGTGGTTGGATCTGGGAGGTTGGGCCCAAGCAGCTGTCAGCATTTCCAGCACAGCGTGGGTTCCGCGGGGGGATAGACCACACCATGGCTAAAACGCCTGGGGCCTATACGCTCACACTCCCACTGTTGGGGCTCCCCTGGCACTAGTGCGCGGCTGGGAAACTTTCAGCCCAAGCTCCATGCAGCCCTGGCGTGACCCTGCAGTTCTCCCACGCTTTGGGTGCGGAGTGGGGCTGCTGGTTATCCCTGGCTCTCTCACCCCTCGGACCAGCCTCCTGGTAGCTCTTGCGCCCTGCTTCCACGCGTGAGCAAAGGGAAACTAGGGCAACTGCAATCAGCCATGGGCCATTCTGCTTCCCCTTCCTCCCCCTCTCCTACAACAGAGCCAGCACATCACAGCTGCCTCCCCCAAGTTACGCTCCAGTTTGCAAGTGCAATGTTCACTCACACCGCAGCTGACCAGGATGTGGTCTGTTTGGTGTTATTGGCTGTGCATCTTGCTGGAGCACCTTGAGGCCCCCGTCAAGGATCGGGGCCCCACTGGGCCAGGTGCTGGACACACACGTAACAAAAATGTGGGCCTTGCTGCAAGGAGCTTCCAATCGGCATCTCTGTCCCTTTGTGCCTTTAGCTGCTTTAGTTCTTACAGTCCTGCCTGTCAGTGCACAGAGCCCTGCCCCAGGTGAACACGGGAGGGGCATCCATGTTTCAGCTCTCCTGTTTGCACCATTTCCTCCAGCAGCCCAAGGGGTTAATGTGGAGCATGGCTCAGACAGTTCCCTTTTCTAATCTTGGTGCATTTACAAAAACCATGTGTGAGAATAGGAGGAAAATTGTCTCCCTAGCTGCCCCAGCACCCACAGCCTGGAGCTCAGCATGGCAGAGGGGAAATCTTTGATGTTGACTTGGTCCCTTCTTTGCCACTGTGCTAAAAGTCCCTGGCTTGCCCCTGCCTGTTCGCTGGAGACCAGTTCTGTTACCAACATCCAGGGCAGGAAGAGATGGCTGGGCTAGTCTAAGAACTCCTACAGCTCCAGTTAACTGGCCTAATTCCAACTCACTCAAACACTGTAAAGCTGAAAATATGACTTGAGCGTGGCTGCTCTTGGGTTCATGTCCCACACAGGAGAGAGTTTAGCGACAAGGCGGAGTGGGGGTAGAGAGAGAAATCCTAATGAAAGCAAAAGCCAGCTCCCAGACCATACACCAGGAACCCCGTGAAGCAGTCTAGGTTAGATGGGCTTCTCTCTCCCTCAGACAGAGCTCAGCCTGTCTAGCAGCTAGGAGATAGGGTTGTTTTTATTGGAATCATGGTTGGAAACATAAAAACACATGGGTTTAAATTACAAGGTGAAGAAAGGATTTGTAAATACACAGGAACCTTAAAAAGCTCCCGAGGAGGTTGCTGACCCACCGAGGGTCACCCATTCCCTGAACAGCATCATATTAGCTCTCAGTGGGTCAGATCAGTGACACAATCATAACGGTCCAAATAATCTGAAGAAGTGGGGTTTTTTTGCATCTGAAGAAGTGGGGGGGTTTTGCATCTGAAGAAGTGGGGTTTTTACCCACAAAAGCTTATGCCCAAATAAATCTGTTAGTCTCTAAGGTGCCACCAGACTCCTCGTTGTTTTTGTGGCTACAGACTAACACGGCTGCCCCTGATACTCGGTCCAAATAATCGTGCACCTAGGAAAGATGTGCCCAGCGTGTCTGCCCTGGGCAAATGTGGACACTGGAGCCCTGAAAGCCTCTTAGCCCCACTTTCCCTGTGGACTGCTGGATGAGCCTGCAGCTTTGTGCTCCTGTTGAATGCTAACAGTCAGCGATTTGGGTCACCAGCAAGGCACAGGAACATACAAGGAAACGCCTGCTGGCATCTAGTTATTTATTTAAAACAAAAAAGAAATATGCAAATTTATATGCAAATGAGGTGTCATTCTCAGGACTCCTAGGAAGCTTCCAGTAAAGCCTTCAGCATCATGACTTTGAGCAAGCCCCAGTCTAAAATAAGTGTGTGTCCCTCCCTACTTCTCTGTCCTGGAGGTTGTGCTCTCACTTCTGGCTTCTGCAAATTGTATTACACTAGAGCTGCTCCACCCCCCCGGCCAGCGTCCCACACACGAGACCGGTGACACTCAGACCTCAATGGCTCAGGAGCCAAATTAGTGATCAACAGTACCCAAAAGAGCCACAGGAGTGTGAATTCATTATTTCATTTACTCTCTCTCTCTCTCTATATATATATATATATTCTCACAGCAAAATGGCTGACCAAGTATTATTTTATCAGCTACAACTGATTAATAACATAGTAGAAGCACCCTGATTGGTTAATAATTAAATCAGTCACTGGTTTAAGATCATGTGTGGCAAAGCGCTGCAGCAGACACGTTCAAGAGCCACTTGTGGATTGCAGCCTCAGGCTGAGTATGGCTGCACCAGACCGTGCTGCCTCCCTGGGCAGAGGGTTCCGATTCTGGTTTTACTGCTAAAAGATCATCTTCCTTCTGCATGACGCCGCAGACGGTGCGGCCGAAGGGCACAGACATAGATTGTCAGCAGCTCAGGCTGCAAACAAGCTGCTTCTGGTTCCAAGTGTTTGAGCACCCAGCCTGGCATGGTTCTAGCTTTCTAAAGCCTAGACATGAAAATTGCCTTCAGAGCGAGAAGCCAAGAGATGGGAGTGGAGTGAGAAGCTTGGTCGTTTGACTGGCTGGGAAGCATGCCAGTACCAAAGAAAACCAAAACCAAGAGAGGCCCACTGGCCCTAGCAATAGGCAGAGGGGAAATGACCCTTTCTGACTTGCAGCTTCCTGCTCTGCTGAACTCAGATACCCTCCTCCAGTGGCTGCCCCTCCTACCACTTCCTCCTCAGCTGCTGCCTCCACGGCACTGAGTTAGCCACCTGCTCTGAGATGCTGCCCCTTCAGGTTTTACTCAAGGTAGCTCAGAATGAAGGTCCTTTATCCATCAAATTACGCTTCCTGGTGAAAAACCACACCCGCAAGGCCACCAGGATATTCTGAGAGGGGTCTTCCCGCCAGCGGGATCCTGACCTTGCCCATTCCCTGCAGACACGAGCAGGTTGCTACTCAGCAGTCTGAAAGGAAGAGTGAGGAATTCAGATGGGAGAGAGGTGGCCCGTCAGAATTTTCTGCCTGTTGTTCTAAGGAAGGGAATGAGGATGGAGAATGCTGGCAATGGGCAAACACTTCCCAGATCTGCTGCCTGCTAACAAGGAGGAGGAAGGAGGTGCTGAGAGTTCATTAAGGGCCTGATCCAGTCTGGCTCTCATGGAGCAGCTCCAATACTGCTACGGGAAATGCTCCTTAGCCATTTCCAAGCAGGGAGCAGATCCTAAGGAGGCACAGACTAGGATGGGAAGCCATTTCAGGAGACAGTGCCTCATGGCAGTGACACCATCAGAACTTCTGAACTTTCTCCTGCCGACTCTCTGAATGTTATAAGGACTGACAAATGCTGATCTGGACCACTTTTTCCAGGTCCAGCCCTTCACCCCTGTGCTGGTACGGCAGCCCCAAGTCTGAGCATCTCTACTCACCTTACCTTTAACCAGGGGAACTGTGGAACTGGTCCCTGTGGATACTGGTGAAGGAAGGCTCCAACCACGGTTTGCTATGTAAATATCAGACAGAGAAGAAAAACAGCCAAAACCCTCCACCCCAAGCCCCCAGCACCTGAGCAACATCTGGGCTGTATGGCCTAAAGCAGGCGTCATGGCTTGGAGAGCAGGGAGGGGAAGTTGAGGGGTATTTCCTCTTTTCTCCTCCCCAGAGACTGAGAGCTAGTTCGTGCTTTAGACGAGTGACCTCCCCTTGTCCCCACCTCTTCCACCCCTGTGACTGCCCCAGTGATGAGAAGGGTGCCAGCTGGGCATTCCAGTGCAGCTAAGCAAGAAAAAACAGTCTATGAGCAGTTCCTGTGGCATTTCTGTCCGTTTCAGGACATCCTCCGCAGGGTTGTGTGCTTCTCTTGTTGCTCTTCTGATTCCTTCACCCAGACTCTCTGCGCTCTGCCTCGCCAGGGGATGGGGAGCCACGGGGGCGCAAATTAACAGATGGAAAGGAATATTTTTATGTCCTGTGATTAAAAAGTGAATATTGTGCCCTAAGTCTGCCGGGGACCTCGTCAACCCGCTAGGAGTCTGCTAAAATCCCAGAACATGGCCTAGCAGCTTCACCTAACCTCTGGAGGGAGCTTGACCACAAAACACTGGATTGTACTAATAATACTTAGCACCTGCCATCAGAGGATCTCAGAGCACTTTCTAAGGTGAGTAATGTCATTATTCCCATCTTACTGAAGCCAAGGTACCGGGGTGAAACGACGGGGCTGAGCCTCCACAGAGAGCCACTAACAGAACAGAGGCCAGTGCCCTGTTCGCAGACCCAGCAGGGCATAGATGCTGGAGCTGGCAAAGACAGGTCAGGGAATTCATTGACCTATCCATGCAGGATGCAGCCCCCCTGTTAGAGGACGCATGGGATATTAATTTCATGCTGCCCTTGATTTGAGGGCAAGCCCAGACTAGCTTATGAAACTTGATCTGATCTGAGGTCCTTTCATAAAACTGGGATTCTTTAGACAAAGTTTACTTCCATTTAATATGTAAATCAACTATCATGTTATTCATATTACAGTGTACTTGCTAGTGTATATGTGTGCCATTTGCCTCTTCTGGAGAGAATCACAACTGCTCAGTTGTGTGTCATATCACCTATAGTGCTAATGGAGAGTCTTCTGTGGCTAAGGTAGCAGGGATCTGTGATGTTGGAGCAGAAGCAGCTGAGTTCTTTCCATATCACTGCTGTGATACTCCAAAGGGTTGGGGTGTGCAGTACAGTGACAGCTGTGAAGTCCCAGCTGGCTACAGCGGGGATACAATGTGCAGTGAGATAAAGAAAGTTGGTAGGTGGGCCTGGACCCAGCTTCTGGGATGGAGAGAAATCAATCATTGCACTTACCGTCTGGTGTCATTCTCCCTTTGGGGATTTTATTCCTCACCATCTCTTCCTATTATCTCTGCCCATTCATAATTCACCCCCTCTCCTCTCATGAACCAGGTTTATCCCCTGGACCCACTGGGAGGAAGGAGGTGAGGCTGGGGATTTATACACTACAGGATCCAAACCAGCACATTGCAACATGTCTGATGTGTCACAAATACCTGACCCCAATTTGTGTGGCTAATTACCAGCTAGAAATACATGGAGGAGTCTGGAAATAGCAATGGGATGTCAGCTACACATATTTGTATAACAAAGCCCAGAACTGCGTGTGTTTTATATAGACCCTGATCATAAAAAGGGGAGTGTGTGGTGGTCTTCAAAGGCTCAGGATGCTGGAATGCCACAACTCCAATGTCTATATTAGATTTCTCACACACTCAAATTAAGCTTGCAAAGTCAAGCCCTCAAAATTTAGGAAATGCCAGAATTAAGGATGCCAGTGCAACCTTAATTTGCGCCCCCCCTTGTGCGTATGCAATACAATACAGTCTTTAATTATATGATGACATGCTATTTTTTTCTACAGGCCCTCTGCTTCCTTCAGTGCCCAGGCCAGTTAATGAGCAACAGTTCAAAATTTTATTTTATTGTCATTGTTCAGTGTGTGCTCCAGCCCTTATCTACCACACCCTATTCAAACCCTGCTCTGAAGATGGAATTATTAATTTCCTCATAGACCTTTTCTATGGTGCTCATCACTATAGTGTGTGAGTGCTTCACAAATACCAGTTTATTGTCACATGAGATGAAGGGGTGGTGTGACCCCCTTTTTCCAGATGGAGAACTGAGGCACAGAGAGATTGTGAAAAGTTTCCACTAATTTTGGATGCCCAAATTCAAAGGCCTCAGATCGGATTTTGCGGCGTATTTAGCATTGCAGAGCACTGGGTATGTTCAAAGCCCAGCTCCCATTGACTTCAGTGCAGCTGTGAGTGCTCAGCACTTTTGCAAATCACACGCCAGGGTCTCAAGTGGTGCACCGAGAAAATGAGGAACACACAATTAGTGACCGCCTGGGAAATTCTTGGTTTAAGTAAGCATCACAGTTTCAGGATAACTCCATTCCCCTTCTGCAGTCCCTTGAGAGCACCCATTTAAAGGTTTCTGTTTCCCATCCATCACTTCTCTTGGGCAGAGACCCACGTCTCTCTCTCCCTTCTGGCTAAAGATTTTAAGGCTGCACAGCTCCCTGCCTTCACTGTGCTATCCCCAGCAAGCCAGGCTGCCCAAACAGGCCCGTGTCAGTGCTTCGCTTTCTCTCTGAGGGCTATGAATGAAGTCACAGCTGTCACTGTGCTGCATACCACGATCATTTAGAGCTTTACAGAAATTATGGGGAGAAAACTCAGCTGCTTCTGCTCCAGCATCACAGATTCCTGCTCCCTTAGCCACAGAAGACTCTCCATTAGCACTATAGGTGATATGACATGCAGCTGAGCAGTGGTGATTCTTTCCAGAAGAGCCAAGTGGCACACACATACCCTAGTCAGTGCATTGTAATTTGAATAACATGATAATAGATTTACATATTAAATTCAAGTGCCCCAGTGAACTGCCTGCAGTTATGTCACCACACAGCTCCTTCTAGGCAAGCACAATTATTATTACGATAAAAGTTACAGAGTTACAGAGAAAACACATTAAACAATAAAAGAATCTACATGCATGCTAAAAATCTTACCAGAGGTCACCCATCAGTCTTATGGGGCACTAGTAGGTAAAATCCTTCCAACCCTTCTCCAAGGATTGGAACTCCCTTTGGACAGAAGGTCCTGTCCATTTGCTGGGTCAGAAAGCAGGCCATGAGCCAGTTTACACGCAGGCTATTTATCCAAAAGTCATTTCTTTGTCTAGTGGTGTCTGGAGAATCCAGTTTGAACTAGTATATGCAAGCATCCCCAAGAAGCAGTACCTGGTGTGTGTGTGTGGGCGGGGGGGTTACAACCTGGCTGATTTGCCTTAGTCACCACCCACAGTGCTTAGTTCCTGAGGAGCTGTGGCAGCCCGTCCCCATGGTATACATCTGATGAAGTGAGCTGTAGCTCACGAAAGCTCATGCTCAAATAAATTGGTTAGTCTCTAAGGTGCCACAAGTACTCCTTTTCTTTTTGCGTCCCCATGGAGAAGAACACAACTGGCCATCATCCATTCGCTTAAAACAATGGACCCCAAAGATACTGCAGGAAGTTGTTCTATCTGTCACCCAGAATCACATAGCAACTCTGGGGCAGAGTCGGGGATAAAATCCAGTTCTCCAAGGCAGCAGTCATCTGCCTTAGCCATGAGACCAGCCTTTCCCTTCCTTCAAACCCCTGCCTCATTCACTGCACTGCCCTGATTAAACCCTGAAGCAGGTTCGTGTTGTGCACCACATGAGACAGTGGTTCTGTCAAAAAATAGGATGTGATTATGTAATTAAAGGCTGTATCGTCATGCAGATACTTCAGCCCCGTGTGTGTAAGGTTGCATGGGCAACCTGAATTCCAGCATTTCCTTACTTTTGAGTGCTTGACTTTGGCACCTTAATACTGTTCTTTTAACAGAGTTACCAGGAGTAATGTCGTAGATTTCTAATAGCAAAGCAAAAAAAAAAAAACAACCAAACAAACAAAACCAAACCAAACCACTTCAGAAATTCCATCATGTAGCATCATAATGACACCAGCATGGATCATTGGGAGGGTTGGAACCTTTAGATCCAGCCACTCAGACCTCTGCCCCTTGATGTAATGGAGCAACTGTTAGCAGTAGTAGGCTGTATCCTCTAGGTGGACCAGCACTAGAGGTGAATAAGCCACAAACTTTGCCAGGGGGTTTTCACAGATATTTGCTGACAGCCGAGGAATGGACTCTGGAATCTTGGGCTCCATTCCAGGTTCTGGAGCTGATTGTGCTCGCGTGCACACAGATGCTTCTGTCCATTCCCCCAGGCTTGATCCCTTCTGCCTCATCCCTCCAACATGTGTCTCTCCCAAACCTGTGTCTTCTCCCGGGCTTAGGCTTCTCATCCAAGTCTCTTTGCCCAGCAAGTCCCGACCCAGTTCACCCCTCCTGGTTCCTTGTCCAACCCATCTCTCCCCTCCCAGCCCAATCTCCCAGTCCTAGTCTCCCCCCCAGACTCCTCACCCAAGCTCAGTCTCCGCCCTCCCTCCCTGGCTCTTTGCTCCAGTCTCCCCATTCCATGACTCCTTGTCTGAGCCTCAGCCCCAGCTCTCTCCCCTGACCCACAACTCCTTGTCAGATCTGCCTCCTGCGGCCTGCCCCATTCCCCCTGTACTAGTTCCTGGTCCTAGTCTTCTTGTCCAGCCAGTCCCAGTTTCCCCCACCCTCCAGCTCCTTCTCCTTCTCCAAGGTCAGTGTATCCCCTCCCATACAACTCGATCCCAGTCTCCCACCTTTCCCTCACTGGCTCCAAGTCCCCAGCACCCAACCTCCTGGCCCAACCAGTTGCACCTTCCCCACTGGAGTCCCCATCCCAGTCTCTTTACTCAGCTAGTACGAGCCTTCCAACCCACCCCTGGCTCCCAGCCCCACCCTTTTTGCTCAGCTTGTCCCCGTCCCAATTTCTCTCCCCCTTCCAGTCCCAGTCTCCCCAGACTCCACATCCCAATCCACTCCTTTCCCTCCCTGTAGTCTGGTTTTTGTCCCCTCTGCATTCGAATCAGACAGTTTCCTCTCTATGCTGCCTGGGCGCCCTCAGTGTGGTTACTGAGAGCACGGAGGAGACACGTTCCCTGCTCTGAGTACTGGTGCCCAGCCCTGCCCCAGCAGGCAGCAGCCATTACAGGGAAAGACCAGCTTCTCCCCTGTTGCCCTGGGCTCTAGAAACCATGTTCTGTGAGGATAGTGCATACACAGTCTGGTCACCCCGGGAGCTGTGAGAGGATGGCGTGTGCTCAGTGAGGATGGACTCTTCCAAGCTTTTAGTTGCTAAAACTGAAGACGGCTTTACCAAGCATGTACAAACTGCAGTTTTTCCAAGGCTTATAGCTTGGGCAAATTTGGGCAGATTTTCATGGGGATGGTAAAAGGGACATCCCTGACACAAAATCTACCCCTGCCAAATTTCAAGTCCCTGCTCCAATGCATGGAGGTGCGAGGGCCGTTCAAAGAAAAACTCACCAGAATTTTTTAACAAGCATTTTCCCCTTAGCCAGCCTCATTCTCAGAAATGGCCAAACTGTTTTGGCAGAAATTTAAAAAAAAAAAAAAAGAGTCAGATATCCAGAATGGAAAATTTCAGCCTGGCCAGTTAAAGTTTGGCAAAGTTGTAAGCAACTGAAAACAGGGTTTTGTAGTGGGAAGTGTCAGGCAGCCTTATAATAGGCAGTGCTATCAGCTGCTGCTAAGAACCCCAAAGAGAGAGAGCTTTCAGAGTAGCAGCCGTGTTAGTCTGTATTTGCAAAAAGAAAAGGAGTACTTGTGGCACCTTAGAGACTAACAAATTTATTTGAGCTGTTAACAGAGAGCTGTTACACTTAGAGAGGCAGGGGGCTTGTCTCTTTCACTAAAAGTTCATCCAATAAAAGACATTACCTCACCCAACTTGTCTCGCTTGTATTTAGAGAGACAGAAATGGAGAGAGCAAAAGAGATGGTTAGGGAGAGATGCTGGGGTTCTCAGAGACATAGAATAGCCTATTTCTGTTCCTTCTTCCTTGCATGTTAATTGCATTCCGGGTCAGTTCCAATAACTAAAGAAGGAACTTGAAGTGTTGTCATACAACAGGTTCCTTAATTTTGCTCAGAAGAACCAATCTACTGGCAGCCATCATTGTTCTATCTCTAGAAACAGCCCCAGTGAAATGCTGCCGACCTTTGATGTTAAGAAATAATGTTTTTTTCTGATAATGCAAAAGGGGTTTCCATCAAAGTGGACTTTAGGTCAGATTCTGATCTCCGTTGCACTGGTGTAAATCCAGAGTAACTCCATGGACAGTGCACATATTGGGGAGTCTGATGCCCCACTGCCAGAGCAGAATGGTAACATTTTAAATCCACTTTCACAGATATCGGTGACAACACAGGGAGAAAGGCAATGGAGAGTCAAGCCCTGGATGATGGTCTTGCACAAAATGAACACCTTTGCCCAAGACTCTGGTGATAGTGGACTGACACAACAGTTTTGGGGTCGATATGGTGACACCCAGGAGCTTGGGCTCACCATGAGATTCACATCTGATATGGCCACGAGAGTTGTGTGGACATTCTGATCAGAGTCAGAGTTGGGAAGAGGGGCCAAATCAGCTTAATTAAGTTAACAAAGGGACAGTGAGCAGCGGGGAGGAGACCCCTGCAGGAGTGAGCAGAGATATTTCTCTCCATTGTGTTTGCTTTGTGTAGTTACAATCCAAGGAAGCCCATGAGAATTCCTAGTACATCCATGCAAATTATATTGTGACTATGTCATAAATATGAAAATACGTTCTCTAAAGAACTGGTTACGGGGACAGCTTCTGCAGTGTGCTGATCCTGGCTAACTTCCAGGTCCAATTCACACCATAGGGCTTGGCTCCCTTTAGCTAGATGGGAGCTCAGGTTGGGAGCGGGACGTTATGACGTTCCCCAAGAAATCAGACAGGGACAGATGGGAAGGAGTTTCTCTTGTTCTGCATTTATTATTCTCTGATTCTGTGATTAGGAATGCCTCCAGCTCCAAACGAGCTCCCTGAGTAATGGCCTGGAGATGGTTTCTTCTTGGAATGGTTTGTGTGTGTGTGTGTTGAGTTAATAGCCAAAGTGAAGGCCACACGGAGCTGCCAAGTGTCATTCACTTGGGATTCATTTTTAAGGTAATTTTTAAAGCCTCCCACTGAACTCATTGAGGTTTGTAGAGCACAGCAAGCTCCTGAGATGATGGAAGCTAGAGAAGGGCAAAGTCTTGCCGGAACAGCGGGTGGTGTCATTGTTAGGGTGCTGCCGTATTTTCTTAAATCTCACTCAGGAGTTTTTTGTCTGAAATTTCTCTTATCAAAATCGTCACAGGGTGAGAGGCCTGCAGAGTCTGACACTGTGCCCTCGGCCTCCTCCCGCCAGCCTACCGTGCACCATGCCCTCTTCCCAGCATGACACAAATTCTCCCGCGGCTGCTCCGCCCTAGACATGAAGCTGTTACACTGGTTCTACCCTGAGGTCCTTCTATTGACTTCAGTGGCATTATACTGGCATAACTCTTGTATCAGGGAGCAGGGAGCCAGGCCCAGTGTCTTTGAGGGCTAGTGACAACCAGCTCCCCAGGGGAAGGGGCCAAAGTCCACCGGAGAAGAACCAGAATCTTTGCTGGTAAGAGATGATGGCTGTAGGAACAGGGGCCCAGAGACAGAGACCGGTGGCTGGAATGGAATCGGAGTAGGAGGGTAGGGTCGGGTAGAACCATACAGGTGCCAAACTGACAGGGAGCAAGGTTAGAAGTCTGTGGGCGGGGCATGTGGTGGTGGGCGGGGCCTCAGTCGTGTGGGCGGGGCATGTGCTGGAGGGCTCAGAACCGGCTCCTGAGGGCGGGGGAATGGTTTGCGGTCCAGTTAGCAGCCGGTTCAGGGCAGAGCGGCCCCGGCCTGGCCGGGGAGCCGGTAGCCTGACCTCCTGGGACCCAGAGCCGGGTAGCAGGAAAGTGGCAGCTGCACCCCTGGGAGCGGGGAGACATGCAGCCAAGACAAGGGGGCTGAGCCCCAGGCGGACCCGCGGCTGCAAGCGCCGGTGAGATCGCGGGGCCGGGGGGGGCGAGCTGGGGAGCCCGGGAGCCCGCCCCGGCGGGCGGCCAGCAGCGCTCGCTGGGGCCCGGGGGAAGGAGCAGGGGGCTGGCCTCAGTGGGGAGGGGCCGGGGTCTGGGTTCGTCCCGGCCCTAGAGCCCGGGTACCACGCTCCGGAGTTGCCGTGGGGGGGACCCGGACAGGGCGCCCCGGCTGCGGTGCACGATCCCCGGCTCTATCAGCGAGCCCCCGGCTGGGCTGGGAGGTGCGTCCCGGTCCCACCCGCCGCGTGGGCAGGCGGCTCGCTCTGCTGGGCGAGCTTTGCACGGCGTCCGGGGAGCCGGGTGCACCGCGGTGCGATGCCCTGTGGGGTGCAGGGGCTCCCCGGGCAGGCTGGGCTCCGCGCCCTGCACTGCTGAGCCCAGGGAACGTGGCTGCCAAAGTCACCCAAGTGTCTGGCCAGGCCGCGGTGCAGAGTCATCGCTGAATGTTTGGAAAGCGCTGTGGGGACGAAACGCAGCTCTGTGCGGGCCAAGCAGTTGAGTGGGAAGCTGTGGCTGGCTCCCAGCGCGGGTGTTTGCAAAGGTTAGTGGGGTAGGGACCGAGGGATTGCCAGATCGGAGCAGGTAACGGCTGGTCTAACTTTATCCTGTCTCCACTCTTGACTAGTACCAGCTTCTTCAACGTAAGGTGCAAGCAATGGTTCAGGGCAGTGATGGGATAACCTGTCCTCAGGGCAAGCTCCCATCTCATTCCCTTTAATCCGTTTAAGTAAAGATTGTGGCCGGGAACGTGCAGACACAGACACTGTCTATTTGGATGCCTGCAAATAGACCACCTGGAGTGTGTTGGAAGGTTATTTATGAATTCAAGAACTGAAGGTTGACTTTTCATACCCTATGGTCTTTTATTCAGGAACCGAAGGTAATTGCCAGGTTGCGGAGAAGGAACTGAAGTTATCAGCATTGAGGTATGGGGTTTTTTTTCCATGTGTGAAATAAAATAGCTGAAATGTTGACACATGGGTTTAGGTCCCCTTAAAAATTGCTGATGTGTGTGCAACCCCTGAGAGTTAGGTACTGGCAACTCTTAATCATCTCCCCGCCCCACCCACCCCCCGCTTACAACCAGCTACACTCCTCCAGTGTGCAGTGCCCCAAATCTACAACTGGAGCTTGGCTTCCCACACTCTGAGGCGGGCAGTGTCGTTACATCACACGGGGTTTCTGTTATTGCTACAGGTCTGGGAATAATTCCGTCCTTGCTGGTGGAACTCCTGACTTCAGTTCAGTGACGCGACAATGAATTTGGCTCCAGCGTTTCACACGTTGTAGTGACTTTGAAAAATAAATGTTTTCTTTCCCTCTCCTCCTCCAGAAAGAAATGTAATTAGAACGTATCTTCCTCTCAGACCCTCGCTCATGGTGAAGGCAGCGTCTGGGGCTGGAGCCAGAGCTGGACTTCCAGTACAATGACTATCAATTCCAGCAGTAATAGCTGTCCCAGACCCCGGCCTCTTCTTCACATAACCGTACAAAATTAAGCCCCAAATTTACAGCAGGGGTTCAGCCTGGCCTCCCTATTTGGAGGTAGAATTTGCATCTGAAAAACTGCACTCCAATTCCGCCCCCCAGGTTAGTGACTGTCATGTGCAGAAGTTAGCAGCTGGACAGCTAACTACAAGATCTGCAAGCCATCCATCTCCAAATATTTGCTCTCTCAATTTTGAGCCTGCAGAAAGTGGAGGCTGAGCTTTGGAAAATATAATGCTAACTCATAGTACTGAGTCATAACATCCCTGCTTCTAGATAGCAATATGGAGAATGGGCACCTTTAAATACCCCTCATTTATTATGAAAATGGACACAGAGAAAAGTCACACCATGGTAAAATGAAGGGAAGGAAGCTCTCAATCCAGTTCCTAATAGTTATATCTCGTCACAGAAGTGTTGTACTGAACAGGCCTGTGACCTGTTGGCTGAGCAGTGTATGGGGGAAGCTTGCATGGTACCTCCTCGCATGCTGGACCTGTCCTATGGGTAGAGGACTCCTTCCATCTCCAGGCCTGTTAATCTGGACTCTTTTGCTGACACTAAATGCACCCAAACAAGTTGAGAGTGGAGATGAAAGAAAACAGTAAAGTAAAAATAGAGTCTCTAGTAAGCAGATTCCTAGCCCAGGGGTTTTCAATCTTTTCTCATTTGCTGACCCCTAAAACATTTCAAATGCAGGTGCGGAAGCCGTTGGAAATCTTAGACATAGTCTGTGGACCTGCAGGGGCCTGCGGACCACAGGTTGAAAACCACTGTCCTTTGGCTATCGGGAAGATGCCATCCATGCTACTACTGAGAGTTACAAAGCAAACATTTAGTACTTTCTAACTGCATAAAACTCACAGGGCCAAACCCACCGGTTGGGGTATCCCAAAAAGCTCTCACTGACTCCTTGAGTAAGGACTTCAGAAGCTGGCTTGCAGACACGCAGTCAGAATGAGCCATCGAGGCCGGGACTCTGCCCTGTGTTCTAAGTCCCTCTGCTGGGACTTTATTTTCCCTTTATAGAAAGCTGTTGCTGCTCAGGGCTTTGCCCGCAGCCCAGTGTAGGGGGCCCAAAGGGGTCTTCATAAAGATTGTGCCAAGTGTCTATCAGTCTGGTAGCTCCACCTGAGAAATGAGGTGCATGACAGCTCATTGGAGGGGATCTTTGCAGCTCCTTGGTAGGAGACCTGTGTTACAAGGGTGCAGTGTAGAGCAGTGGAGGGGAGCATCTATTGCGGACGGGGGGCTGGAACAATTTTTATAGTGGGGGATGCTGGTGATGGAAACCATGTATTTGGTGTTTGTTATTCCACCTACAAGGTGCAGCAGCACCCCCAGTTCCAGCACCACTGATTGGAGAGGGGCACATTCTCCTGGATTCTGAGGAGGTTGGTACTGGCAGAGTAGAGGAGCCCTAGAACAGATTTTGGGGGGGGGAGGGAGGAAGGGCCTGATTCTCTCTGCTGTTTGGAGAAATGCAGTTATATCTTTGGGCAGGCTACAAGGTTCCTTCCAAAATGAAGAACTGGTTTCAAACGTCTCTTAGTTTGCTGTTCACTGCCTCGCCTGCGGTTTAGGTACCAGCTCCATCCTGAGAGGTGCTGGGTGTTCTCAGCTCCTGCTGGGAGCCAAGGGAGTTCTTGCAGGATGGGGCCCAAGCTGTACTTCTCTCTTGGTGAAAGAACCCCCTGTCGCTTTGCTCACCACCTCCTGGTCTCCATCCTGGTGGGAGGGGTGCAGTGTGTGCTATCAGTTACGTGGCATCTCTTGCTTATGCTGTGGTTCTCTTCCCTTTCTGTCTGCAGCACCAAGCACTTCCTTTCTCTCGTTCTGAGTGAGGTCTCCACAGGACACCAGGAAGCTGCTCCTTCTCCGTCTCTGCTTCTTGTGGCCCGTTCACTGCTGACACTTTAAAGATTCACTGACCTTTCACAGGGAACTTTGAAAAGCCCAGCGTTTACAAAAGCTGGGTGAGGGATGGCAGCTGCCTAACTTAACTCAGTATGTAAAAGGATGATGAGGAACCCAGAAACTGGGTTGGAGAGGGTACCGTGGGGCAGAGCAAGAGACTAGAATGAGGAGTAATGGGGTGAGATTTAGAGAGGTTAAGTTAAGGAGAGTGTTAGGAATTGCTCCTTGGGGCAGTGGAATAGTCTCCCAAGGAACGTGGCGGACGCAAACTACAGACAGGGACAAAGCCCTAGAGAATGTGCAATTGGGGACAATCCCACATTGGCACCAGGAGGGACTGCATGATCTCATGGGTCTTTTCCATCTTGCTTCTGTTATTTTTCTCCAGAAGTCCTTCACCTCTGGCAAATTCAGATCAGGTGATGGGCTCCCCCAACCTGCATCTCCCATCAAGCTCACACTGAACTCCCTCAGCCCTGGGAGTACTCCATGTCCCCCCCCCCCCCCGTTCACTCATTTCTTTTTTCTTTTAATTCCTTGTATGGTATTTCACAGGTCGCGGGAGGGAGGGGGAGGAGGGTCTGCACATAGGAGCAGATACTACATGTGCCAGTGTAAGGGATTTCTGTGTCTACGTTATAATTTGCCCTTAGTGCCACCCCTTAGGCCAGGTGGCTGCTGTTCCTGTAATTCTCAGGGCCTCACCACCAACGTACCCGTATTGTTTTGTGTTGCTCTGGCAGTGCCATGGGCAGGGGTACGCTGGGAATCTTGTTCTGGGTGCATACGACATCTCCCAACAGAAGGAACTGCAATGGGCAGATATCGCCAGAGTAGCTGGCTGTTGGAGTGACTTTCTCCCTTCTGGCGTCTGTTTTTTTTCCAAAGCAATTGTCTACTGTTGTACTAATTTTGATGGAATAAATGGGCCCAGAGAGTCAAAGGTGTTTACATGATCCCGTCGCTGTACAATGCTGCACAGTTAAACATGGCTTGAGTGACCTCAGGCTGCTTAGCCCCAAGACAAACACACCATTAAAAATCTTTATAATCTTTCATTAAGGATACAGAAAAGCAGGGAAAACAAAGCATTTGACATGTAAAGTATTCAGTAATGTTTCATTTTAACAATATCCCTTGTTTCCATTAGCTGTAGAGAGTTTTCATAAGGAAACCCCCATCTGACAGCTGGTTTTTTGTTTAGCGATGGTGTTAAAGATGGTAATAACAGTCCTTTCTGGAAAAACAACAAGGGGTCCTTGTGGCACCTTAGAGACTAACAAATTTATTTGGGCACAAGTCTCTAAGGTGCCACAAGGACTCCTCGTTGTTTTTGCTGATACAGACTAACATGGCTACCACTGAGTCCTTTCTGGGGAAAAGAGCAACAGAGAGTTGAACTGGTCTGGAGCTGCTGCTGCTGCTGTTAAAGTCCGGCCCTGTTTCCTGCAAGATAAAACAAGACACACACACACACAAGAGTGGAGAGAACAGAACAGCAAAGACAGAAAATGCAATATCTGTCTCCGGTGCAGACTCATACTTGCGCTCTCATGGCTAGCGAACGCTGGCCCAGCACGCGGGCTTAACAGCCACTTGGAGACCTGGCAAACTTGTACCAATGCCAGGCTGTTGAAGGCACTGCTTTTAGCTCTACTGGTCCCAGGCTCCCAGCAGTGTTGCAAAAGATGCAGTTGTCTTGGCTGGACTGAGCCAGACTCCCATTAAACAGAAGGCAAAAGGAGAGAGAGAGGAAGGTGAAGAAATAAAGTGGGGGAGGAAGAGGCCACAGGAGGGAGGGGTGGTAGCAGGAACCCAAGTCTCACATTCTGTGCTACAGGCCTAAAACAATAAATAAGTGCTCCAATACAGGGCAGCAGGAGGCCCTGGGAGGGAGCAGAGAGGATCTGGGGCTGGTGTGCTGCTCTCGGAGTGGCCCTGCCACCTGGCTCCCAACATGCCTGGGCTCCTGGTGGCTCCAGCCCCCTTGCTCCCCTTCTGGGGAGGGGAAAGGAGCTACCTGGCCGAGGACCAGCAGAAGTACCAGAATGCCATTCTGGCTCTTAAAGAAAAAAAACGGTGCTGGAACAGCCTTCTGGCCTGACGCGAGCGGTGCTCGCGTTCCAAGTGGTGGATGGGATTTAGTGGGAGCTGGGGGAGGTGGCAATGTCGTTGGAGGATTCTGGGGTCCCAGGAGATTGTGAGGGTGGTAGCCAGGATGGTGCTTTCAGTCAGTCTACCCTTCTCATTTTGGTTCTCCCCAAAGTGTCTTTTTACAGCCCCCACAAGAGAGTGATTGGTGGAATAGCCCATTCCCTCGTTATTTTGTCCCTCAGTTAGGAAATGTCTGATGCACTAGTTTTGGGCCATTGATTTCCTGTTCCGTTCTTCTCTTTACCAGTCATGACCTCAACACGGTGCTTGCATGGTGTCAGGAGACCTTTTTGTTAGAACTAATCTCCTGTTTGCACTCCTTCTGTTTACAGTCATTGTAACAGCTTAGAAACCTTCTCCCACTTTCCAACTATTGAGCTCACAGTTGGGGTAGACTTTAAGGCCAGAACAGACCATCGTGATCATCTAGTCTGACCTCCTGCACATCGCAGGCCACAGACCCTCACCTCCCCACTTCTGTCACAGACCCCTGACCTCTGGCTGAGTCACTGAAGGCCTCAAATCATGGTTTAAAGACTTCAAGTTACAGAGAATCCACCATTTACTCTAGTTTAGTTTAAACCTGCAAGTGACCCGGGCCCCATGCTGCAGTCTCTGCCAATCTGAACTTGGGGGGAAATTCCTTCCTCACCCCAAATATAGCCATCAGTTGGACCCTGAGCCTGTCAGCCAAGATCCAGCAGTCACACACCTGGGAAAGAATTCTCTGTGGTAACTACGAGCCCTCCCCATCTAGTGCCCCATCTCCAGCCGTTGGGGGTATTTGCTACTAGCAGTCACAGATTGCCTGCAATGGCATGTGGCCCATCTCATCTTACCATCCCCACCATCATCTTATCAAGCTCAGTCTTATCACAAGTCAGGTTTTATGCCCCCACTGCTTCTTTGGGAAGGCTGTTCCAGAACGTCACTCCTGTGGTGATAGCCCTGCTAGACCCCAGTTATTACAGCACGACGCCTGGAAATCCTGACTTGTGGAAAGACCTTGCAGGTGGGGGCAGGAGGGACATGAAACCTTAATGACATTTTACATTGAGGTTTTCTTTTTAAGCAAGCCCCCAGCCATTGGTTTTGATGCAAATTTTAGATCCAACACCATTGCACAAATAGACCAATGCTGAGCCCTTGGCGTGAAAGTCCTTGAACTGTGGGGACATCTTGGCCTGCATCTGAATTCTGTGGCTCAGGTCCTATGTCTATTTAAAACACAGTTAATCAGCTACTCTACTGCCTCAAGCCTGTGACCGCAGCCACAACGCGGCTGTCTTTGGTGAAATATGATTCAAAATAGCATGCAGTTCAAGTGAGATGAAGACTCTGAGCATACAGCAGTGAGCCTGGAGTAAGGCCGTACAGTCACGGGGATAGCTTGGACGAACAAGAGACAGGGAATACAGTTTTGACTTCCCCGGACTCTGAGGTCCAGAAAGTCCCATGCAGTTTGCTGAGCTGTGGAGTGGGAGAAGCAGGGTCGAGCCCAGGCACTGCTGCAAGGGGGATGCGTGTGGCAGAGCAGGTGACTTGCAGACTAATTTCCAGAGTGCTGAGCACCTGTTACTCTCCTGTGCGTTGGAGTGTTCATGAGATCAACCGTGTGCGTGTCCTTCCCTCCCACACGGGGTGCAGATTAACTAGTGTTTGGAGGGTACTTTGGCAACCACAAAGACTTTTTTTTTTTCTTAACAAGGATTATCATTATCTGGCCAAGTCCTACCACCCTCACTGAGGGGAACTCGCACTGAATTCAAAGGGCTGCATCCGCAGTGGTGCTGTGCGATTGCGATTCCCACTGAAAGCTGATAAGCACTGCGGCTGCTCAGTATCGCTCAGGATCTGGGCCGGTGGGGGTCTTGTCTGAGTAGAAGCCCTGGTGTTTGGCTTCTTGGTATCTCGGTCCCCAAAGGTCCTCCCAAGTGGGAATGCCAGTGGCCATGTCCGGGAGCACGCTGCTAGGGCTGTGATTGTGGCTGTTTGGGTAGTTGTCTCTCCGCCCTGCGAGCCAGGGTGTCCTCACTCCCTGCCTCCCCCACGCTGCCAGTGGTGCTGGCCTCCATATGCCATTTGTCACTTCTCCCCCAGCTGTCTCCGGGTGCCTCCTGTGCTCCCTTGGCATGGCATGCTCGGGCTGCAAGGCCCCCAATTCTCCTCCATCATGTCCTTCCTTCAGGCCCCTCTTCGCTGTGATGCCCTCATGAGATTCACCAACTCAGACCTCTCTTTTCTCTGAATAAAACAAATTTAAAAACATCTCCTTGTTTCACCATGATGTTCTAGCCCTTCCTGAGTAACCACAATATCCTCCTGCTGAGACCCCTCACGCCTCCCCCTTCCTCTCTTTGAGTCCTGTCTAATGTTATTTTGTAAGCTCCTTGGGGTCAAGATTCCTTCCTTTTGGGGAAGTTTCTACCATGTCTTTGGGCTCCTTTGGAAGTAGTCATGATAATAATCCTGCTGTATTATGTAAGCCAACCGCGAACTGCCTGGGGTTAGGGAGGGATTTTCCTCTGGGCTGGTTTTTCTGTCATTGTTCATTTTGGGGTTCCAGCACTTGGTACTGGCTGCTGCTGGTGACCGAGCAGGCTAGATGAGTGGGGGCCTAATAGGGTGTGCTGATGGCTATGTAGGCGTGAACATGGGTTTGTCAGTGTTAAAGTTATTTCCTTTCTGTGCAGCACTGAGCCAGAGAAACTATCTTTCTTTCTCTTCTTTCCACTGCAGGATGGGCTGTGTGAAATCCAAGGATGCCAGAGTGCATGGCAAGGACTTCAAAGCTGATTCTAGCCCTAATTTCCTGCAGCCCCACTATGTGAAAGACCCCACATCCACTAACAAGAAAGTAAGTGGGAATGTCAGTGGAAATTCCTTTCTGAGCGCTAGGGAAGGTCCTGCTGCTGTTGTATTTACTGATGGGTCAAGACCAGGGGCAAAGGGAAATGAGGTGCAAGATCCAGCCATTAAAGGAGAGAAAAGGGAGCTATGGAATCTCTTTCCCCACCACCAGCCAATGTTTCTGTTTGGATTTGACCTAGGCAGTAGGATAACCTGCTCTTGGGGCATCTGGGACCAGCATACCAGAAGGAGTCTACTTGTCACCGGTCACTGTGCCTGTGGCTTGGGGGGTAATGCTGGTTTATTCTGGGTTGGGAATGCAAATGTATTGCAATCCTTCCCAGGGTCAGGCAAGAGGGTAAGCTGATGGAAATGAAGAAGCTAATGGAGAATGAAAAAGAGAGGAAGGGGTCAGAGAAGGAGGAAGACACTTGAGAGGGAGGAAGAGGAGGAGGAGGAGGAGGAGATGAAGGTCATGGTTCCATTAGAGGTCAGCAGTGAATGGGTTAAAGAGAGAATATAAATATTGCAGGAGCTCGTCATCCATAATGGGCTGTCCTGCTGGGGGTGATGGCTGTGGCTCCCCACAGGAGCGTGTGCTCCATCCCGCTGTCCATCCAGACTTTCATGGTGCAACTCCCAGCTCTGCTGAGCCCAGTCTCCCTGAGTATGTCCTTTCCACATGGTCTCCAGTGCCGTCCATGGCCCATCTCCATTCTGCAGGGGAGCGATTGGTCTGTGTGACGTCTGGGGACTTCATACTCTAACCGTTCCCCTCCCCGTCTTGCTTTCCAGAGCAATAACGCCTCCAGCACGACTCAGCCCCACACAGCGGATGGTATGTATAAAATATGATCTGCAGGCAGCTGTGTTAGAGTGAGTGTAGGAGATGAATGTGAGCTGCAGGCTTCAGATCTGGTTCAAACTCCCCGAGAGCAGAGGATCTGTTCCGGTGCCCTGGTTGGACCCCTCCCTGATACAAGCTGTCTGAGTGTTGCATGTAATACACCCGCCTTTCACCTTTGAGAACTGGGGTTCGGATTCCACTTGGGTCCTGGGTGCCAGCAACTATAATAGGCTCAGTGTTGTGCCTCTGGATGCTCAGGCATATCCCAAGCTCATCAAAAACTCGAAAACAGACAGGTACATAAATCCTTATCCCCGCATGGGGCCTCCCCCAGGTCTGCAGTCCCTGCCCCTGCTGTGCACGAGTGTGTTTGTTTGTGGGGAGGGAAGGCGCGAGTGTGTACGTTACTGTGAGGGAGACGAGCGCTTTGCTGTTGGCTTTGTGTTTTCTATTCGAGTGGAGGGGACTCCGCTGTTATAATGGGGTTGGCTGGGTGAATTCGGAAGGACCCACCAGAGGGGCCTGATCCTGGCTAGTCTGGGTTGGAATCCATCAGGGGAAACAGTGTGGGGTCAGCCAGGACTGAATGTGCATGGAAGCTGAATTCCCAGGGGCCACAGCCAGTCGCCCCTCCAGGTGAAGGATCCACTGAAATAATGGAAGGTTTCAGAGTAACAGCCGTGTTAGTCTGTATTCGCAAAAAGAAAAGGAGTACTTGTGGCACCTTAGAGACTAACCAATTTATTTGAGCATGAGCTTTCGTGAGCTACAGCTCACTTCATCAGATTCATAGATTCATAGATATTTAGGCCAGAAGGGACCATTATGATCATCTAGTCTGACCTCCTGCACAATGCAGGCCACAGAATTTCACCCACCACTCCTAAAAAAGACCTCACACCTATATCTGTGCTATTGAAGTCCTCAAATTGTAGTTTGAAGACCTCAAGGAGCAGAGAATCCTCCAGCAAGTGACCCGTGCCCCATGCTACAGAGGAAGGCGAAAAACCTCCAGGGCCTTCCAATCTACCCTGGAGGAAAATTCCTTCCCGACCCCAAATATGGCGATCAGCTAAACCCTGAGCATATGGGCAAGATTCATCAGCCAGATACTACAGAAAATTCTTTCCCGGGTAACTTGGATCTTACCCCATCTAAAAACCCATCACAGGCCATTGGGCCTATTTACCATGAACATTTAATTACCAAAACCATGTTATCCCATCATACCATCTCCTCCATAAACTTATCGAGTTTAATCTTAAAGCAAGATAGATCTTTTGCCCCCACTACTTCCCTCGGAAGGCTATTCCAAAACTTCACTCCTCTGATGGTTAGAAACCTTCGTCTAATTTCTAATCTAAATTTCCTAGTGGCCAGTTTATATCCATTTGTTCTTGTGTCCACATTGGTACTGAGTTTAAATAATTCCTCTCCCTCTCTGATATTTACCCCTCTGATATATTTATAGAGAGCAATCATATCTCCCCTCAACCTTCTTTTAGTTAGGCTAAACAAGCCAAGCTCCCTGAGTCTCCTTTCATAAGACAAGTTTTCCATTCCTCGGATCATCCCAGTAGCCCTTCTCTGTACCTGTTCCAGTTTGAATTCATCCTTCTTAAACATGGGAGACCAGAACTGCACACAGTATTCCAGGTGAGGTCTCACCAGTGCCTTATATAACGGTACTAAAACCTCCTTATCCCTACTGGAAATACCTCTCCTGATGCATCCCAAGATGACATTAGCTTTTTTCACAGCCATATCACATTGGCAGCTCATAGTCATCCTATGATCAACCAATACTCCAAGGTCCTTTTCCTCCTCCGTTACTTCTAGTTGATGTGTCCCTAGCTTATAACTAAATTTCTTGTTATTAATCCCTAAATGCATGACCTTACACTTCTCACTATTAAATTTCATCCTATTCCTATTACTCCAGTTTACAAGGTCATCCAGATCCTCCTGTAGGGTATCCCTGTCCTTCTCTAAATTAGCAATACCTCCCAGCTTTGTATCATCTGCAAACTTTATTAGCACACTCCCACTTTTTGTGCCCAGGTCAGTAATAAAAAGATTAAATAAGATTGGTCCCAAAACTGATCCTTGAGGAACTCCACTGGTAACCTCCCTCCAACTTGACAGTTCACCTTTCAGTAGGACCCGTTGTAGTCTCCCCTTTAACCAATTCCCTATCCACCTTTCAATTTTCCTATTGATGCTCATCTTATCCAATTTAACTAATAATTCCCCATGTGGCACAGTATCAAACGCCTTACTAAAATCTAAGTAAATTAGATCCACTGCGTTTCCTTTATCTAAAAAATCTGTTACTCTCTCAAAGAAGGAGATCAGGTTGGTTTGGCACGATCTACCTTTTGTAAAACCATGTTGTATTTTGTCCCATTTACCATTGACTTCAATGTCCTTAACTACCTTCTCCTTCAAAATTTTTTCCAAGACCTTGCATACTACAGATGTCAAACTAACAGGCCTATAATTACTTGGATCACTTTTTTTCCCTTTCTTAAAAATAGGAACTATGTTAGCAATTCTCCAATCATACGGTACAACCCCTGAGTTTACAGATTCATTAAAAATTCTTGCTAATGGGCTTGCAATTTCTTGTGCCAATTCTTTTAATATTCTTGGATGAAGATTATCTGGGCCCCCCGATTTAGTCCCATTAAGCTGTTTGAGTTTCGCTTCTACCTCAGATATGGTGATGTCTACCTCCATATCCTCATTCCCATTTATCATGCTACCATTATCCCTAAGATCCTCTTTAGTCTTATTAAAGACTGAGGCAAAGTATTTGTTTAGATATTGGGCCATGCCTAGATTATCCTTGACCTCCACTCCATCCTCAGTTTTTAGCGGTCCCACTTCTTCTTTCTTTGTTTTCTTCCTATTTATATGACTATAGAACCTTTTACTATTGGTTTTAATTCCCTTTGCAAGGTCCAACTCTACTTGACTTTTAGCCTGTCTCACTTTATCCCTACATATTCTGACCTCAATAAGGTAGCTTTCCTTACTGATCCCTCCCTTCTTCCACTCCCTATATGCTTTCTGCTTTTTCTTAATTACCTCTCTAAGATGCTTGCTCATCCAGCTTGGTCTACAACTCCTGCCTATGAATTTTTTCCCCTTTCTTGGGATGCAGGCTTCCGATAGCTTCTGCAGCTTTAATTTAAAATAATCCCAGGCCTCCTCTACCTTTAAACCCATAAATTCTTCAGTCCAATCCACTTCCCTAACTAATTTCCTTAATTTTTGAAAGTCAGCCCTTTTGAAATCAAAAACCCTAGTTGCAGATTTATTTTTGTTAATCCTTCCATTCAGTTTGAACTGAATTAGCTCATGATCACTTGAGCCAAGATTATCCCCTACAACCATTTCCTCTATGAGGTCCTCATTACTCACCAAGACCAAATCTAAAATGGCATCCCCTCTAGTCGGTTCAGCAACTACTTGCTGAAGGAATCCATCAGCTATCGCATCTAGGAAAATCTGAGCCCTATTATTATTACTAGCACTCGTCCTCCAGTCTATATCTGGGAAGTTAAAGTCTCCCATAATCACACAGTTTCCATTAGTATTTACTTTATTAAAAACATTAAAAAGGGCTCTATCCATATCCAAATTAGATCCCGGTGGTCTATAGCACACCCCAAGCACTATCCCAGGGGAGGCTCTAATAGTTTTCTTCCCCAATTTAATTGTTGCCCAGACAGACTCAGTCATATCCATTTCATCGCTTCTTATTTCTTTACATTCTATCTCATCATTGATATACAGTGCTACTCCACCACCTTTACCTTTATTTCGGTCTTTCCTAAACAGCACATACCCTTCAATACCTGTAGCCCAGTCATGACTACTATTCCACCAGGTCTCTGTTATACCTATAATATCTGGTTTCACTTCCTGCACCAGTAACTCTAGTTCCTCCATTTTATTACCTAGGCTCCTTGCATTAGTGTACAAACATCTTAATTTTTGCTGTTTGGCCTCACTCACATTCTGTACCCTATTAGGCACGGTTATTTTACTACCAGTATAACCTATTAGACTTGTATCTACACTGCCCTTCCTCCTACCTACAGCTGTATCCACTCTTACTTCATTTTCTTTCCACTCTATGCTAAATTCTGGCGTGGAGATTACCTGGACATCTCCCAACCATCTCCCCCAAATACCTGGTAATACCAGCAGGACAGTGGGGTGGGAGGAGGTATTGTTTCATATTCTCTGTGTATATATAAAGTCTGCTGCAGTTTCCACGGTATGCATCTGATGAAGTGAGCTGTAGCTCACGAAAGCTCATGCTCAAATAAATTGGTTAGTCTCTAAGGTGCCACAAGTACTCCTTTTCTTTTTGAAATAATGGAAGGGTCCCCGTGACCTGTGGACAGAGAGGGGTGAGGGTGTCTTGTGTCTGAGTCAACTGCTTCCCCCCCACCCCACTACCTGTGCCCAGGAGAAGCTCTTCTGCCATTCTGAGGGACAGGGTGTGTGTTCCTCCCTGCAGGCTCCGATGACTACATCGTCCTGGCCCTGTATGACTATGAAGCGATACACAGTGAAGACCTGAGCTTTCAAAAAGGAGACCAGCTGAAGGTCCTGGAGAAGTAAGTGCAGCCCCGGCTCCCTGGCTGCGGGAGTGGAAGGCATTGAGGCTCAATGAGTGATGGCGTAAGACTAGCCTGTTTTTCTTGAGCACCTGGCAGCTGGCTCTGTGGGTCCTGGGGAGCCTTGAAGGCTTATTCCCTGTGATTACTCTTCTCTAGGCTTCTGAGCCTGTAGAGTTTCCTCTGCTACAAGGCTGCCTCGCCTGGAGTGGCCTTAGAAGGTCATCAGAGATGCCTTAGAAGTGCTGCCTTTGGGGGGTAGGGAGGACGGAAATGCACTTCAGACTCCCATTGCAATGTCGGGTGATGGGAGCAATGTCATGTCTGTCTCTCCTCAGGTCAGGAGAGTGGTGGAGAGCAAAGGCGCTGACTGGGCAAGAAGGCTACATCCCTAGTAACTACGTTGCCCGGGTAAACTCCCTGGAGACAGAAGAGTGAGTCTGCCATTCATTTGGGTGGGGCAGGATCTCTGTGCAGGGATAACCTCAGAGATCCCTCTTTAGCTGAATAACCTGCACTCTGCTGCCCATCGTGTCTGCCGTTCGCTGCCTTTTCGGGCGTAACCTTCCCATTTCTGTTCTGCTGATCTTCTGCTTCTGCTTGCTGCATCTCCAGGAAGGTTAAACTCTTCTCCTGCCTAGAGACAGACCTGGGGCTGGCCACCAGAGTCTCTGCTTCCCACTTCCCCACAGACTCCTTCTCCTCCTTCACGGGAACCATAAGCTTTCCCTGCCCTTCCCCATACACCCCAGAGAATGAGTTGCCCTAATTCTGCCCTGGTCTCTCTCCACCACGCACTCCTTCAGGGGGCTGGGAATGCCCGGAGTGCCGAAGGGATGGTTAAATGTGGGCTCCAGCCCCCCAACCCTTTGTGGCCCTGACCTGGCTGTTCAGAGTCCAGAGGAGAAAGTGAGGCCAGGGGGAGAGATCACCCAGGAAGCCTCCTTCCTGTTCCTGTGTGCCAGGGAGATCCATTTGAAAGGCATGACATAGACGCCATGGTGAGTCCCCAAAGCATAGGTAATGGGGGGTTGGGTCTTTGCAGCCCAGTGATGGAGACATGGGAGCTGTAACTGCCATGTCACATGAATGACCCTGACAAAGCAGTGCTGTGTTGTAGAAACACCATGGCAAAGCAGGCTGCTTGTCCAGCAGTCTCCCCTGACTCACCGTCACCCTCAGCTTGAGTCTGTCCTGGAAAGGCTTAAGTGGGCAGAGTTTCAGGAATGTCTGAGAAGCAGAAAGCCTGGGAACCCACCTGCGTGCTCAGCGCAGGGGGCAGGGGTCAGCTCTGGTTTCACCCTACAGGTGGTTTTTCAAAGGAGTCAGCCGGAAAGATGCAGAGCGTCATCTCCTCGCTCCGGGGAATATGATTGGGTCCTTCATGATCCGGGACAGCGAGACAACCCGAGGTAACGAAGGGGGCAGCAGAGGGGGTGCTGCCCCTTGTGGAATTGAAGGCCTCTGCTGTTTGGGACAGGGCAGGAGGAGGTTGGGTGGGGGTGGGTGATCCTGATCCAGACAAAGCAGCAGTTATCAGGCAGGGAATGAACAACGGTCTGAAAGTTCCCCCTTGCCAGTCCCTCTCTGCGCTGGGTGTCTAACTCGATTCCTCTTGCTACCAGAACATAGGGTTAGTTCTGCTAATGTATCGCTGTCACCCACAATGTTGCAAAATAACCTAATCCATGCGGGAGGGGTAGGCTTGCAGGAAATGACCCCATTTGACACGCCCCTTGAGGTTAGGAGGAGCGGATGATTGGGGAGGGCAGAGTTTATCCGCTTCTCAGCTCAGTGCTTCAATAAACAAGCCCATTGCAAACTCTTCCTTGTGTAGGGGGTTGAGTGTCAGCCTAGAAATCCCACCGCCATGCTTCTGGAAATCCCTACAACAGACAAAGGGATGTGGGCACTTAGGGGAGAAGGGAGGAGCGGTTAGCAGAGCTGCTTTCCCTTGGGCATTGCTGCAGGCTGTTGAACTAGCTGCCCTTGGCAGCAATGAGCTGGGTTGCATGGTGAGGAGGTCGCTGTGGCATGGGCAGTCCACACTAGGAGGCAGTGGTGTCGTGGAGGGGAGCTCAGGCTGGCATTACGGGGGTAACCTGTGCAAGTGTGGAAGTACTACAGAACAAGGAGCCTGTAGCTACCCGCTTTCAACAGGGCCTGCCAGTACCCCTGGAGTCTCCATTTGCATGTCTGTCTCTTGAATCAGGGAGCTATTCCTTGTCTGTGAGAGACTTTGATTCCCAAAATGGAGACACAGTGAAGCACTATAAGATCCGGACGTTGGACAGCGGTGGCTTCTACATCTCCCCTCGGAACAGCTTTGCCACGCTCCAGGATCTGGTCAGCCACTATCAGAGTGAGTCCTATGTCACCCGTGCTGGGTCCTTCACAGAGAAAGTGCTGCTCATACACGCTGCTGCCCCCGGGCTGCCTTGCTATCGCCATGGGTGGGCGGCTTCCCTGGAGCCTTGTCTCTCTGCAGCATCTCCTCGCTACTGCTACCTCTTTCCCTCTCTCTGCCCGTCAGGGCTCCGTTCCTGGTTTCTTTCCTTCGTTTTAGGGGCCGTCTATCAGTTATGGATTCTTCTACCTCCAGGTTACTGCTTTGAATCCAGCCCTGGTCATTGGTGCCTGCAAATTGTTCATGCTTGACAGCCGGTTGGATGCTCTAGGACATAAGTTTGCTGGCTGTAGTCCAGTTCTTAGCAGCAGGCGTCCACATCCCCAAACTACCCCCATACCTAGCAATCTGCACGCAGAAGCAGAGGCTTGGAGAGCGGCACCGTCGGAAACTTTCCCACACTCCAGAAGTGGCTTGTGCTCCCCGGACTCCAAAATCCCAGGATGCCGGGCACTGTGGGGAAGCTTCCTGACCTGTTCCTACTTAGTGCATAGGGGGGACTTCACACTGGAGGTCACATGCCATGCGGATGAACGTTTATCCCATTAAAGCAAAACCAGTCCTTAGGGCTGGACTGAATGGCATTATTTATGTGGCCGGCTGCTATGTGAGTCGTGAAATTCTGCGTGTGGTGAAAACCCCTGCATCTACACTGGCCCTTATGCTATTACTAGCCTGAGAGGAGCCGCTCACCTGCTGAAACGCTGGCACAGAGCTTTGTAGCCCGGACTCATCCTGCCTGGCAGAAAAGACTGATCCTGATTGGTAGATCTTCTTCCTCTTTTTTCAGACCAAAGTGATGGGTTGTGCCAGAAGCTCACTTTCCCCTGTGCTGCGCCAAAGCCACAGAAACCCTGGGAGAAAGATGCCTGGGAAATCCCCCGGGAATCCCTGAAGCTGGAGAAGAAGCTGGGAGCTGGGCAATTTGGAGAAGTCTGGATGGGTAAGAGCAAGGATTGGGGGTCAAGGGGAAAGGGAAGACAGAAGAGGTAATGATGAAGGGGCTCTGAAGGCAAGAGGTGAGGGATATAGTAGGCAATGAGAAAGGGAGGCCACTGGAAGGAGGCAGGTAAATAACTGATCTCTCCAGCTGCAGAGAAGGGAGGATTTGAATAATTGGATATATGAAACCAAATTTTGCTTTTCTTTCTCCTATGATTTGCCTCTCAGGGCTGGGTCAGGTGCAGGTGGAAGAGCACTGAAGGATATGTCTAGCCACCAGCCTTCATATAGCAATTGTGTCCATACAAACCAGGGTCGTGCCTGTGAAATCGAATGATCTCCCAGGGCAGAGAAGCCTCGGTGCAAATTGAGAGGGGTTGAGTCACTGTGGGCGGAGGAAGAGAGATGAGCAGCCTCATGGGTGCTAGCACCTGCATCAGGTTCCTGAGCTGTAACTAGAACAGGCCTGATCTGTGACTGCAGAGTGGGACAGGGCCATGGCCACTGGAAGAGAGGAAGCCCTGTACAGTTTTGCTCTCAAAGCAGCTAGTGATGTCAGCAGCCCCAGGCTGGTTGGGAATGGCCTTGAAGCATCCTAGTGTCCTCCTATCCCTTCCAGCCACCTACAACAAACACACCAAAGTAGCGGTGAAGACCATGAAGCCAGGGAGCATGTCAGTGGAAGCTTTCCTGGCAGAAGCAAACCTAATGAAGAGCCTGCAGCATGACAAGCTGGTGAAGCTGCACGCGGTGGTGACCAAGGAAGAGCCTATCTACATCATCACTGAATTCATGGAGAAAGGTAACTTCCCCCCCAGCTGACCTGCCTCTGGGGCAGAGGGAGAGGTGGAGCCCCGAGTACACTAATACCAGGTGGTAACGCTGTTCAGGGCCCTCCTGGGGGTAGGCGAGGTATGCTCCTTGGCAGCTCCAGGCAGACACGGTTTGCCCATACCCCTCCACACATGCTGTCCCTCAGTCTGGGAGGAGTGCATTGCCCACGTGCAGTTGGCCAGAATACGGTTCATGGCTGGAAGTATGTGATAACAGCTGTTGCCAGGAAAGAGGGAAGGAGCATGGGAAATGACAGGAAGAGAACAAAGAAAAAGGCAAGAAGCATGAGAAACCCATGGAGTCGAGCTAGCGCTCCTCCTCCCCCCAGACTAACCCCACTCCACGGGCATGCAGAAAGGAGGCAGGAGACACATCTCGCGGATCAGAGCATGAGATGTCCCATCTTCTGCCTGAATCCTTCTGGCTGCAGCACTGAGGATGTGCAGGATTGAGAAATCGCTCCTGGGAGGCTGGTTCTGTAGTTTCCCCTCTGCGTTTCCCTGAGCAGACGTGGGCAGTGCGCTAAGTTTGCAGGCCATGACCCAGGGGCTTGGCGACGGACAGAACATGCTGGCCAGGCCCTGACCACTTTCCTGTCATGCCCTTTGCAGGCAGTTTGCTGGATTTCCTGAAAAGCGATGAAGGCAACAAGCAGCCTCTCCCGAAGCTGATTGATTTCTCTGCCCAGGTGAGGAGAGAGCACAGTGAGGGCATAAGGGGGGCCAGAGAAACTTCTGCTCCTACTTTGGGCATGAGCCACGGAGGAGGAATGGAGTTGTGCTCAGAGGCCAGTGGTGAGAGAGAAGCCAGGCCAGCTTGAGCTGAAGGTCTTTGTGCTAAGGCCTCAAGTTCCTGCAGCAATTGACCTTTTGGGGTCAAAACAACTGGTCTCTTGGCATGTTTGTGAGCCCTGTGTGAGCTGAAGAGGCCAGACCGCAGACTGGGGTGGTTACAGAGCAGAAGGGCCCTTGACCTCAAAGGCAATGTGGTCTAGAGTACTGAGCATGGGACTGAGTACCAGGAACCCTGTAGTGCCACTTAACTCAGTGTGACTTTGAGAAAGTCCCTGAACTCGAGGCCTGCCTCTTCTCTTGCTGAGGGCAGTGTAAAGTACTGAAGTGTAAGTGAGATGAGGGCCAGGCTGCCTGTCTAGCTGAGTTTCCCTATCTTTAAAAGGCAAAGAGCAATACTTCCTTACCTCCATCGGGGGTGTGAGTTGGAACAGCTGAGTGTTTGGGAAGCGATTGGGAGGCATAAAAGGCCAAATTGTGTTACTGGAAGGAAGAGTGTTAGATTCAAAAGCTGAAACGATCAGGAGAAATATTTGGCCTGTAGGTCGTTACCTGCTGGGAGCAAACCCCTGCCTGGGATGTTCCTTCCTGGTAAAAGCTGATGATGAGGGAGGGGGTAGAGACCAGCTAGGTTCTGTGAAGAATCCAACTCTTCAGGATCTAACAATGGAGAGTTGTCAGCCTGATTTGAATATGCAAATAGGCCTCGTACGCCCCAGGAAAACGTGCAGGTGTTGGGGAGGACCTGGTGCTTTTTCTGCTTTGGGAGAGGAAACATGGAAATAATCCAGTGAGTTTCCTTTCCCTGCGCCGTCTCTGATGCGTTGGTGTTCTCACTCTACTCTCTGGAACAACTGGCCACTTGTTCACAACTGTCCCTGGGCCCCACAGTACAGCTGTGCGAAGCTTAGGAGAAGCAGGTGTGTGGTGGTGGCTGAAGGGGAAGTAGTTTGTTCTCTGATGATTAAACCCTTAACTAGAGAATTTGGCAGTGGCAGTTAGAGGTCTGGGGACTGTGCAGCTGGTTAGTGTTGTAAAGGATCCGGTTGGTCAGCTATCTGGCAGGGAACCTGTCCCAGCCTTTCTCATGTCATGATCTGGAGGAATCTGTGTCTATTAAAAAAAAAAGGAGGACTTGTGGCACCTTAGAGACTAACAAATTAGTCCTCCTTTTCTTTTTGCAGATACAGACTAACACGGCTGCTACTCTGAAATGTGTCTATTAAGGCCCTTGGTTTTATGCTCTAGTGGCCACAGAATTTACTACAGATTCTGGTGACTTTTCTTTGTGGGAGTCTAGATGGGGAAAAAGAAAAGGACTAGTGGCACCTTAGAGACTAACCAATTTATTTGAGCATAAGCTTTCGTGAGCTACAGCTCACTTCATCGGATGCATAAAAGTGAAAAATGCAGTGCAGATGTTTTTATGCACACAGAACATGAAAAAAATGGGTGTTATCATACACACTGTAAGGAGAGCGATCACTTAAGATGAGCTATTACCAGCAGGAGAGCGGGAGGGGGGAGAAAGTTTTCATTTTATTTCTGGTCACCCAGACTTGCTCTCTCCTGTCTCCAGGATACAACAATTATGGCCGAAGTCAGCTAATTGCCAGGTGTGTAACTCAAAGAGGAGCAGCAGAAATAACTCTGTGTATTGGTGATCTGGTTTACAAGCCACAGGCCACCTGGTGGCTCCATCTCTGACACCTTTCTGCCAGACACCACAGTACTCAGGCAGGGCCATGCAGCTTTCCAGTCAGGGCATTCTTTACTCAGTCAAAAATTCATGCTTTGAACCACCAGGCACTTTCTCCAGCTCCCCAAGGCTCCAACTGTTTTCCACTTTACCCCATGTTGGGAAACCATTTTAAACATGAGACTAGTGTAGTCTTGGGCAAGGCTCCTGGAAGGGGGCATAATGAACATTTGCTCCATACACCCTGCCTGGCACAAGTGTGTTAGCAGAAGCCATGTCTAAAAGTAGTTTCCTAGCAGAGGGGAAAGTGGGTTGACAATAAGGCTAAGGAAAGTAAAAGATTTCACAGGAGTTCAGAGTGCTCCCTGAAAATAGCTTTTGAAATAACATTTTCAGTACCAGATCTTCAGAGAAGTTGGATGTGCAGTTGTGCATCTAATCTGAGTGTGAAGTGATCTGATTGTGTATCCAAATGTATTATTATTTCTCTTTCAATAGCAGCTAGAAGCGCCAGCCAAGGTAACGGTCCCAGGGTCGTGGGCACAGTACATATACACAGGCCAGGTTTACACTACTAAATTTTGCCAGCATAGCTATGTCAGTCAGGCGTGTTAAAAAGCCGCACCCCTTCTCCAGCATAGCTGTCAGTAAAACCCCCGTGTAAACGCAGCTATGCTGACAGAAGGGTGGTTCTCTCGGCATAGCTAATGTGCTTCAGGGAGGTGGTGGTGTTATGCTGGAAGAAAAACCACCTTCTGTCAGCATGCACTGTGTCTACGCAAGGAAGTTCTGCCGTGCAGCTATGCTGGTATAGCTGTATCAGCAAAGTCTCTGAAGTGCAGACTCGCCCCTGGTAAGGACTTGTCTGCACTTCAGATGATACAGTGACACAGCTGCTCTGCTGTAACACTTCAGCGTAGACACTAACTATACTGATGGAAGGATTCTCTAGTTAGTATAGGGACTCCACCTCCCTGAGAGGTGATAGTAGATTGGTCGATGGAGGAATTCTTCCATCGACCTAGTACTGTCTATAGAGGGACTTAGGTCAGCATAACTACACTGGGCAGGGGATTTTTCACACCCTTGACTGACTTAGTTAAATAGACCTAATTTTCTAGTGCAGACCAGGGCTTTTGGACTGTGTCTGAGGCCTGGAGAGATTACCCTCGAAATGACAAGCTAAAGGTGGGAGGGGAGAGATATGACATAGCTTGCATAAGGTCATGCCCAAGCTGATGGCAAAGCTGGGAATAGAACCCAGGTCTCCTAGTTCAGTCCCTATCCACTAGGACTAGCGCAGTGATTCTCAAACTTTTCTTTTCGCGGACCACTTGAAAATTGCTGAGGGTCTCGGTGGACCACTTAATGATCTTTCCAAATGTTGTTTGTACTGTTAGCTAACTATTGGAAAGCGCTTTGGATAAAAGCGTTATATAAAAAGAAGTCATAATAATTAAAAAAATTTTGCGCCTGTGCGGCTCCACTAATTAGGTGGGTGGCCCTTTATGCTCTCGTGTGTGGCCGCCCAGGCGCGCACCTTAGAGGGAACTATCCGTGGACCACCTGAATGGAGCTTGCGGACCACTGGTGGTCTGCGGACCACAGTTTGAGAACCTCTGTACTAGAGCACGCTGCCTCAGGTAAATGCCTATGCAAATTAGATATGCACTTGTGCACGTCATTTTCCTGGCTCTCAGAGCCTTCACAAAGGGCCTAGCTAGAACCTTTAATGTATTAAATGTATTTAATGTAATAACCTTTAGTATTTCCTCCAGCTTTCCCAGAGACAGGCAGCAATACATGCAAATAGCTCCTGGGCAGCTGGGTGAGCAGCACGTTTGCACATTCAGAATGAGTAACTGTGGGTGCAAATAGGTTCCTGAGTGTGAAATTACCTCTTGTGTCTGTGGCACTTGTTTTTTGCATAGACAGCACAGGTGCAAGTATTTGAAAGTTTAGGCCCCCAAATTCTATGGGCCAGATTCTCCACAGGGGTAAGCAAGTGCAGTATGCATACTTCATCCCCATGGATTCTTTCCTTTCCAGCTCCATAGTCTATTCCTAGTGTCCCATTCTCTGTAGCCACCTGCTCCCATTGCTCTGTCTGAGTGCCTCTTGATGAGTGTTCTGTGTTGTTTGAGGCGAGTGCCATCTACTGGGCTCTCCCCCATATGAGCATGGTCAGATAACAAGGGAGTGTTATTTAGATGTAATATTCAGTGCTACTATGGGCAAGTCTGAATTTAAAATTCCCACTCTCCAGTTAGACATCTCAGGCACCACATCCACTGAACTCCATGAGAGAGATGTCTGAGGGAGAACTGTGCTCATATATGTTTAGGCTCTGGGAAAGTTGCTCTCAGTTCTATGGAGTTTCTCCATCCTAATGGGAGATCTGTATATGTTCTCACTTACATTCTTCTTCATGTACTGGGGCAGGGGGGTCAGCAGAGATGGTTCCACGTGTGCAGTTGTAGTGAGATTTGGAAAAAGATTATCGCTGAGGCAGCTTAAAAGCAGACATGAGCCTAGTATAGTCCCACAGGTCTTGATAGTAGAGTTGAGGGCCTGTGGCAGCAGATTTGGGTTATGATGATGTGCGCACTAGCTCGTGTGTGAGTGCTGGCAAATTCATGGGTGTTTGTGTGAGTCCATGTGCATGACGGTTGGTGAACAGGTTATATCCCAGCTTCCAGTTCATGGAAATTTGCAAAGTCTGGTTCTGATACTTCAATTCATCAGCCACTGTCCTCTGCCATCTCCCCACAATGCGTGTAAGTGGTGCATAAGCCTCGTGTTGACCCTTTGCAGAGGGCTGAATGCCACCCAGAATCCTGGTCTTTGCCTTCATTGATCCCCTGTCTTGAAGCTCAATGAACAACCCTTTCCTTAGGGGACAGGGATTTAGTCTGTCACCGCAGTTCTTCCCAGAGAGAGAGGATTCACTGCGCACTCATTGTTCTAGTCCTTGATTTCCAGGTGCTTGTTAATGATCAGCTAATGTCTTTCATGGTGCCCATGGATAAGGTCTGTTTCTGTGGCTCACAAACACTTTCTCCCCTTTCTAAAGGTTGCGGAAGGAATGGCTTTCATCGAGCAGAGAAACTACATCCACAGGGACTTGAGAGCTGCCAATATCCTGGTGTCAGCCACCCTGGTGTGCAAGATTGCAGATTTTGGACTGGCCAGAATCATTGAGGATAACGAGTACACGGCCCGGGAAGGTAGAGAGAGCTGCTGTGGATGCCATGCACAAATGCAGCTTGCATAACCTAATAGACATGACAAAATGCACATGGATGGCCAAATTCAGAGGTGATGTGTAAGATGGTGTAACTTAGACTCCCTTAGGCCTTCTTACACCTACCTACCCATGTACACGGGAGTCTGAGTTGGCGTAATTTGCATGTCTAGGACATGTGGAAGAAGTTACCACATAGGTTAATGTAACATGGAGGCTACTTAACTTGCATCTCCATACATCCTTCTGTTAGTTACTTATCTTGCTATGTGCCTCACTTCTGACCGCTTGGCATGTGAGTTACACCTGACAATTTTGATCTATTTGCCAGGTGCCAAGTTTCCCATTAAATGGACTTCACCAGAAGCCATCAATTTTGGATCTTTCACCATAAAATCAGACGTCTGGTCCTTTGGAATCCTCCTGATGGAGATAGTTACCTATGGGCGGACCCCATACCCAGGTAGGAAGTTGAAATGTCTCCATATGCTATTCTTGGCTTGTCCATATAATCTACTTCTAGCTGAAGTTAGAACGGTATCAGGGAAGGAAGGGTGCCTTGAGAACTTTGAACCACAAAAGCTGGGGAGCAGCGTCTGAAGACAGGATCATGAGCACAGAGTTCCAGGTGACAAAGCCTTGGAACAAGAAGTAAAAGGCAGAGTACCCTGGGCATGGTGTGGTCACATCTCTGACCAACATGTATTATTCATTCATCCACGTTTGCTGTTTGGGCAGGTACCAGCCCAGACTGGATGGTGTGAAAGATTGAAACCCAGCTGGTGCTCTTAATTTAACCTTGATTACTCACTGTTTATAGCCTAAAAATACACTCCAGTTGAAATTGGGAGACATCAAAGTGCACAGAGCCCAAAGCAGCAGCCCCAGTTTTAGAGACTGAGAAAGGGCCATGAAATTAAGGTCTGTAGTTTCAAAGGTGTCCACTAAACTTAGGTGATTCCACTTCTGGGCACCCAGCTTGAGACACGGCTTGATTTCAGAGATGCTTAGCACCACTGACTGTGGACGGTCTGCACCTTTGAAACTCAGGGCCAACGCCAGGTGCTTCAGAGGGAATGAACAGAACATGTGATCCTCAAGTGATCCATCCCCTGTTGCCCATTCTCAGCTTCTGGCAAACGGAGGCTAGGGAAACCATGGATGGACCTGTCCTTCATGAACTTATCTGGTTCTTTTTTGAACCCTGTTATAGTTTTGGCTTTCACAGCATCCCCGGCAACAAGTTCCAAAAGTTGACTGTGTGTTGTATTAAGAAATATTACCTTTTGTTTGTTTTTAAACCTGCTGCCTATTAAATGAAGAGTATGGTATTTATTTTTGGAGTGTTATGCAGAACTGGACTTCATAATTGATCTCTCTTATTGGGATAAAAAATGATTATGTTAATACTGCTTTGAATGTCATTGTCTCTGATTGCTGTACCTTTCCCAGGTAGTGGTATAGGGGCTTATCCCCACCCCCTCTTCCTGTGTTTTCTTCCTGTCCCTGTGTCTGGGGATCACACTTCCTAAAGGGATTGTTAAAAATCAAAATGAAAACACCTGTTTAATACTCGGTTTCCCTCCTGTCTATTGTTGTGTTATAGGGATGTCTAACCCAGAAGTGATCCGTGCCCTGGAGCGTGGATACCGAATGCCGCGCACAGAAAACTGCCCAGAAGAGCTGTATGACATAATGATGAGATGCTGGAAGACCAAACCAGAAGATCGTCCTACCTTTGAGTACACACAGAGTGTTCTGGAGGATTTCTTTACTGCAACAGAGAGCCAGTACCAGCATCAGCCTTAATGTAGAAAATCCAGGGACAGCAATGAATATCCATAACTGTGCATACTATAGTACCTGTAATATACACACTCAGTCTGTTCTTCTCCTGTCCCATCCCTCCCTTAGTATTCCTTTATACATATTGCCCACTTCCATCAGCCTCTTCTTAGACACCAAAGATTTCCTGACACTGACTTGATTGAAGTTGAGAGGCAGAATGCAGTAGCATTACATTTCAGCCTCCTTGGGCTGTGAACTCCCTGGATAAGCTAAACACTGTTAGGCCTTGTTAGTATTTAGGTGTGAGACTGCTATGGAAAGTCCATTGCTGCAGAAAGTCTTCAGCAGATGGCTCCATTCCCTTTAAATCCATATAGAACTATTTCCCTAGCATAGTTCAAGAAGGGACTGTGATGTAGAAGGTGCCATCTTTCCAACGAGAGAGAAAACTGTGGGCTTGACTCTATAAAGATCCCATGATGCTTGTTTGCTTTATGCAGATAGGATAACAGAGCAAATTACATTATGAATAACTACATTCTGACTAAAATCTCCCCATGCAGTTTCAAATAAATATAGTTTTCACTCCTCATCACAGTCATGTGTTGGAGTTGTGTACTGTTAAACAGCTGCTGGATTTCACCCTAGAAGTGGTCGCTTGTAAAGTGATTTGTAAAAGGCTTTAGGATCTCTGGATGAAAGGTGCCATGTAAAGCCTCTTTCAAACCCATTTCTCTTTTGTGATGGTTTCCTGCATGGATCTGATCTGCATCTTCTTGTGGGTGAACTATTGGCAAGTGCATTAACTAAACTAGATATTGAGCTCCTTGGAGCAGGAACCTCATCTTTTTACAAGACACGTCAAATGCCTTGCACATATATGGTAGTTTATAAATAACAGACATTGGCCTGATTTCCCCTCCCCACCCCCAGTTGCTCTGGCATAACAACAGCAGAATTTTGATTTTTCAACTCTTTTCTTGAGCTGTTTCTGCAGGTTTTATAGTGGCACCTTTGTGATTGTCTGAGAATTACAGGAGTGTTTCCTAAAAAACATGTTAGGAACACGATGCTCGGGACTGATATATTCTCATGCATTTTACAATGTAGAGTAGGTGGCACTGGAAATCTGAAGAGAAAGTAGTTAACTTCAGTGATTCCATCCAATTTGTTTCTCTGGGCAGGGGAGGATAGCACAATTTGCAGTTTAATAACTTGCATTTCTATGAAGGAACCCTGCATTTCTTGCACACTTATTTCAGGTTTTTTAGTATTTAAAGATAGATTATGGTGGGGGGGGGAGTGGAAGGGGTGGCAGGAGTGAGGATAAAGATTTTTGACATGTTTAAGTCTCTCTTTTTCCTAATGAATTTTTGAGATAGTTAGGTGACTTTCCCCGTAACAGGAGAGAGACAGTGGAGGATGTGCTTCTATCTCAGCTTTGATTTTCAGTCAATAATTATTAAAACATTTTGCATTGTTTGTGGCTTTCTTTTAACATTGTATATGTGGAGCAGGTCCTCAAGGAATCAATTCTGAAGCACTTAGAGGAGAGGAAAGTGATCAGGAACAGTCAGCATGGATTCACCAAGGGCAAGTCATGCCTGACTAATCTAATTGCCTTCTATGACGAGATAACTGGTTCTGTGGATGACGGGAAAGTAGTGGACATGTTATTCCTTGACTTTAGCAAAGCTTTTGACACGGTCTCCCACAGTATTCTTGCCAGCAAGTTAAAGTAGTATGGGCTGGATGAATGGACTATAAGGTGGATAGAAAGCTGACCAGATTGTCGGGCTCAACGGGTAGTGATCAATGGCTCCATGTCTAGTTGGCAGCTGGTATCAAGCGGAGTGCCCCAAGGGTCGGTCTTGGGGCCGGTTTTGTTCAATATCTTCATAAATGATCTGGAGGATGGTGTGGATTGCACCCTCAGCAAGTTTGCAGATGACACTAAACTGGGAGGAGAGGTAGATACGCTGGAGGGTAGGGATAGGATACAGAGGTACATAGACAAATTAAAGGATTAGGCCAAAAGAAATCTGATGAGGTTCAACAAGGACAAGTGCAGAGTCCTGCACTTAGGATGGAAGAATCCCATGCACCGCTACAGACTAGGGACCGAATGGCTCAGCAGCAGTTCTGCAGAAAAGGACCGAGGGGTTACAGTGGACAAGAAGCTGGATATGAGTCAACAGTGTGCCCTTGTTGCCAAGAAGGCCAGTGGCATTTTGGGATGTATAAGTAGGGGCATTGCCAGCAGATCGAGGGACGTGATCGTTCCCCTCTATTCGACATTGGTGAGGCCTCATCTGGAGTACTGTGTCCAGTTTTGGGCCCTACACTACAAGAAAGATGTGAAAAAATTGGAAAACGTCCAGTGGAGGGCAACAAAAATGATTAGGGGACTGGAATGCATGACTTATGAGGAGAGGCTGAGGGAACTGGGATTATTTTGTCTGCGGAAGAGAAGAATGAGGGGGGATTTGATAGCTGCTTTCAACTACCTGAAAGGGGTCTCCAAAGAGGATGGCTCTAGACTGTTCTCAGTGGTAGCAGATGGCAGAACAAGGAGTAATGGTCTCAAGTTGCAATGGGGGAGGTTTAGGTTGGATATTAGAAAAAACTTTTTCACGAGGAGGGTGGTGAACCACTGGAATGCGTTACCTAGGGAGGTGGTGGAATCTCCTTCCGTAGAGGTTTTTAAGGTCAGGCTTGACAAAGCCCTGGCTGGGATGATTTAGTTGGGGATTGGTCCTGCTTTGAGCAGGGGGTTGGACTAGATGGCCTCCTGAGGTCCCTTCCAACCCTACTGTTCAATGAAAGAAGGCCTGGTATTACCTGTTTCTAGCTACTGGTACGTACCCTGTCCTCCCTTGGCTAATAGAGGGAGAGACCTCAGGTTTCAGGGCACGGTCTCTTCCTTCTGGGATTTACCCCAACAGAGGTATCCAGTATTGCCAATGCCCATTGGTGCGGCTACCACCTCTCTGTCCAGCTGGGGCCCCATCAACCAGCGTAACAAGGGTGACAGATTGCTATCATTACGCTCCAGGGTTAACCACACAGGGCCGCGAACGGGAATATGTCACACTGGGCTCCCTGTACCCTCTGCTGCCCTCAGTAAAGATGGCGCCGAGTGTTACAGACCCGCTCGCCGGGCCTGAGGCTGAGCCCTGCTGCCCTCAGTAAAGATGGCGCCGAGAGTTACACACCCGCCCGCCGGGCCTGAGGCCGAGCCCTGGTGCCCTCAGTAAAGATGGCGCCGCAGGCAGTCCTGTCCCCGGAGCTGGGCCCGCTGTCGGTAGCTAGGGCATGGGGCGAGGGAGCGTAGCCCCGCGGAGGCAGTACCTATGCTCGGCCGGGGCCCGGCCTCGGTCTTTCTTCGCTCCGCCTGGAGGGCCCGGCCCAGATCCCGGCTGCCCGGAACCGGCTTCCTTCGCCCGTCGCCGTCTCCATGGTGATAAACTTCCCCAACCAACCACTAACTACTTCCGCTTACGTCTGTCCCGACACGTGGATCCAAGATGGCGGCATCGGGGGCCACGGTAAGCGGAGCGGCGCGGACGGTGCCTGTCAGGGCTCGGTACCAGCCTCCCCGGGGCGTCAGCGGCGCCCGGCGGGCCCGAGCTCCGGGCCCGACCGCCCTGCCCCGCCCCGGGGCTTGTCCCGGCCTCTCCCTCCGGGGCCTGAGCTGGGCGGGGGCCGGGGCCCCGGGACGGCTGTGGCGGGGCGAGGGGGGAGTTTCGAGCCCTGGCTGGGGGGCAGGCGGGCGCCGGAGGCTCGGCGGGGGCGGGTCTTTCGCCGCCCGGGTGGGGCCTGAGGCTGCGGGGAGCCTGGGACCGGGCTGGCTGCTGGGCTCGGTACTGCCGGGGGCGGGGGGCCCATTGAGGCCCCGAGCTGAGTGCTGGTCGGGGGGGGGGGGGAGTATGCTGAGTTTCGAGACTTTGGGGGTTGCTTTGAGGGCCCGGGCAGGGCGTTGCTGAAGGAGAGAAGGTGCGGGCGCTGGGGCCCCGGGCTTGATCGGGGCACTGCTTTAATTCTGCGGCGCAACCCGGCTGCTTGCTGGGGAGTCACCGCTTCAGCAGCTCCCAGAACACTCCTCTCTCACAAGCGTCTCCTGAAATGAACCTAGCTGTCCGTGGGATTTGTCCCCTGAGTTGATCACACAGAGCAAGAGGCTCTAGCCCGAAATAACTGTTTTCCCTTGAATTCTGCTTCCTCTGAACTGTGGGGAAATAAACACCCTTCGCATGTGACACTGACTTGACCGATGCAAACTCTGCACAGGCCAGGCTTTAACTCAGGAAAGCCTGAAACGCGTTAGGCCTTTTATGCTAGTTGGTAGCAGCACTTTCTCTAGCCCTCTTAGCTCTGTGGTTCCTGTTACAAGGAATAATCCTGAGTTTAGTAGAATCACAGAAGTTGTAGGTGGGATAAACTCGTTACTTTGACTTGACTAGGAACAGTGGTCGTGTTCAGGTTGAGCTTAGTTAATAAGCGTTAGAGCCCAGCCTTGGGTCGGGCATTTGACTGGTCCAAAAATAATGACCAAGTATTGTCAAAAACAATCAAATATTTTAAAGCACTAAGTTATTAGAACAATAAAACAGAAATAATAAGATTGTATGGTCTCCAACACGCTTAGCCTTAATTAAATACTTATGACTAATTACAAAAAACAAGTTAGTTAACTGAATTATTTTAACTCAAAAATGCAGAACACAGTGAAATGAAGTCCTAAACAAAATGAAGGAATGGCATCGTAGTGCAATCAAAGAGGTAGGTAGGCCGGCAGGCAGGCTGCTGCCTGCATCCAGGCATTCTTTTTGGAATAGTTGACAGTATTTGATTATGGTCAAATAGGCGGTCAGTTGATCTATGACCAGTCAGTTGATTGGCTTGCTAAGCCTAACCCAACCTAAACTTTTCCTAGTCAGGACAAACCTTAAAGTTTAAGAGTAGCAGCCGTGTTAGCCACAAGTCCTCCTTTTCTTAAAGTTTAAATCATCCTATCTTCCCTACCCCTGCATGAGAGGGAGATGGGTGTGTTATGTTAAACAGGAAAGTTAGCATGGCTGTTGATGTCCTTATCACCTCCATTCACTAGCAGACTGCTTTGTGGAATGATTTCTCTGCTGCCCTGTTATTTTACATTTTATGCAAAAAGATTAGATTGTTGCTGTAAACATATTTCACAAAGGTGGCTTGTAGTTAAGAATTTTTGACCAAACATCCTTTTGTGTTTGTTTTTTCCCCGTTCTAAGACAGTGGTTCTCATATTTACTCTGCAGAGCTGCTTCTTTCTTAGTGATGAACTGTCACAGTCTTCAAGGAGTCTTCCTGCTTTTGTAATCCAGTCTGAGACCTTGTTTATTCTTTATGCATTAGACATGCATCTGATGAAGTGGGCTTTAGCCCATGAAAGCGTATGCTCAAATAAATTTGCTAGTCTCTAAGGTGCCACAAGTCCTCCTTGTTCTTCTGGTTTATTCTGCACTTCAAAAAATACATAAACCTCCCACTGTTCCACCACTACCAGCAGAGCTCCACAATTGATAGGAACAATTACAGAGCTAATGTAGGCAAGGCTCCTGTGTCTCTTTCCACTGTGGTGTCTAAACCTGCCCAGTGCAGATCTAGATGGCATAGTGGTAAAATGCTGATGCCCTGTCTACACGAGCATTACCACTGGCAGTAGTGAATTGGAGATTTCCCCCCAAAAGCTAATACAGATACAGGTTTCTAGTTATGGTTTCTAGAGCGGTTTTTGACCAATACATCTTTTTTTGAAGCCCCTCTTTGCCTTTCCTACTTTGTGTCGTAAGTGGTGCAGGCTGACACGAACATTGGAGGGGGTAATAAATACACTGGAGAACAAATCAAAAGCACAAAGTAACTTGGAGACAATAGAGCAGTGTGGACAATTCCTAATTATTAGCTGTATAACTAACTTCCAGAGCTTCTAATCAGGTCAGGGTCCCATTGTACTGGGTGTTGTGCAAATATAAGACAGTCCCTGCCCAAAAGAACTTGCAAGCTAAAGCCCTGTACCTATGGACAGGAAATAAACAGATCAGCAATAAGACAGGAGGTGTGAGGATTGAGCCAACCAGCTATATGCATCACAAAGCAAAACTATTTTCATGTGTCCTCTAATACTCTTAATACTATTTTGTATGGAACCAAACATTTTAGATGGAGGGAAGTGTCCATCAGACCAGGTGGCCCACAATATGAAAAGGTTGAACTGTTCTCAGTAATGGCAAAATTGAGAGTAGGACTCTTTTATGTAATCCATTTAACAGGAACATGGACTTAGGCCGAACACTTAGTGCCAGGTTTAACGGGGGATCATATTTGTGTGTCAAATATTAGTGCAAGTTGTAGTAATAAAACTAGATATGTATAGCCACCTTCCCTCCTTGGTTCCTGGAGGTCTTCACGAGCATTAGTTTATTACACCTCACAAAACATCCCAG